GTTGTGGAAAAATTGAATTTCATGGAAAATCAATTAAGTTTGCGCTTTGTTAGGCCACTCTTTACATGAACCCCCATGGGCCGAATGCGGAAGTGGAGCTGTCGTAGGGAGCTGCCCCGAAACTAAGTAATTGGCACGCATGGGACAGTGGAAGGGGCTGAGCCAAGAAAGGGACCCGCGGGCCATACGTATTACCATAAAAAACTTCCGACGAAAAGTTGAAAATCGTTGTAATGTGTTCTCACGGAGATCTCCCCCGTCAAAAAGCCTGACTGCGCCCTTGCGTGGAGACGATACACCTACCCAAAACCTGTTACATATGTTGCGTGTAATGAAGACAAGCACCATCGCCAGGGGCGCGCGATCCGCACCCATCCAAAGGCGGCGTCCGGCGGGTGCGCTGAGGGCTGGGGACATCATCGCCAGGGGCGCGCGATCCGCACCCATCCAAAGGCGGTGCTCGGCGGGTGCGCTGACGGCTGGGGACATCCTCGCCAGGGGCGCGCGATCCGCACCCATCCAAAGGCGGTGCCCGGCGGGTGCGCTGACGGCTGGGGACATCCTCGCCAGGGGCGCGCGATCCGCACCCATCCAAAGGCGGTGCCCGGCGGGTGCGCTGAGGGCTGGGGACATCATCGCCAGGGGCGCGCGATCCGCACCCATCCAAAGGCGGTGCCCGGCGGGTGCGCTGACGGCTGGGGACATCCTCGCCAGGGGAGCGCGATCCGCACCCATCCAAAGGCGGCGTCCGGCGGGTGCGCTGAGGGCTGGGGACTCACAAGACGAGGCTCGCGGCTGCTGCTCGATCGGTGCCCGGGACTGCAGCCAGCTGGTCCTCGCCTGGCGCAGCCGGAAGTGGCGCGCCGACAGCTGCTGCTTGGTCGTCAGCGCCAGCTGGTAGTCGGAGGCGAGCGTCACCAGCGCCAGCGCCAGCAGCGCCAGCGGCGCCAGTGGCCGGGGCCGGGCCGGGAGCGACATGGGCGTCGGTGCGGGGAAGGCCGGCGTCTGAGGGTGTCAGCACGTCCCGCAGCCCGGCCGACCCCGGCCGGTCGCCGCCATGGCAGCGGCCAAACACGGCGCTGCAGCTCCCGGCTCCCGAAGGCGGACGCCGCGCTGCGTGGTCGACGGGGCAGGACGATGGCGCTTCGGCTTGTTATATACCAGAGATTGTGCACAGATGGTCGTGGTGAATGACCGTAAGCCTACACGGTCAACTTGCAAAAATAGAGAAAAAGCCACTTCTTTAACATGGCAAAGGCTTCCAGATCTCAACACATTCGGCGGCATACTCAAAAGTCGCAAGAAAGGACAAACGAGACAAATCAACGAGGTTCATATTTACGGACTACACTTTTATATTATATGCACTTGTATACATACACTTATATATTCATTATAAACACTTACGTATTTACGGACTTTTACAACATCGCAAAGTGGCGTTGGAATCTGATAGTCGACTAGAGAAGCAGAGGCAGACTATCTATTTTCGCGTTGCTGTAACTGTTATTCTGCCCAGAAGGAATCACAAAAGAAATATCCCCAATCTAATCTTTGAAAGGTGCGACTTGAATTTGAGAGATACTCAGAAGCATGACGTCACGACGGTCGTTCTCGCGCGCCCGACGCCCGGCGTCCGGTGATATTTGCAGCGACTAACGCCGTTCGGCTTTACGAAAACTGCCATCCCGGCCATCGTTGTCCTTGCTCCCGAGATTGAGCGCCAGCAATCCTTTTGATGTTATTTGTTTCACGAGCCCATTTTGCAAAGGAAAACATGCTTTAATGGCAAACGTGAGATGACCTTGCTCATTTTTAAACTAATTTCGACCCATCCTTTTTAACATGGCCCCTTACCTTTCCGGGCAAGCGGCCATCTTGAGTAGAACATTAGGGGCACATTATCGCTCCTGGTCAGGGGCTGAAGGGTTATTTTGTCTCACCACAGGGTGTTTTCCAAACGCCATTCTGGCGACACGGATAATCCCCCAGTCAATTCGGAGGTCCTTAGAGGGACACAGCATATACATTGGTCTCCTCCCCGATGCGAAAGGCCTTCTGACCCGTGCAGCTGACCCCGGATCGACACGGGAGTCCGTATTGAGGCAACAAGATCCCTGATTGCTTCAGGTGGTCCAATAATTGGCACATTTTTGCTCAGTCGACTCCAATTCGGCTTAACGGGCCCGTGCTGGCACTGGGTTTGAGGACCCATCGTTCGGCTCTGGGGACTCCGACTGACACAAGACCCTTTCACTGTCTCAGTGTGAACGCTCATCATAAGTTCGCATGCTTCTTTACTTTGTCGGGGGGCCCCGGCCAGTGCGAGGGGCCCGCTGGCATTCGGGGTCCCGTCCTCGTCCCTGCTCAGAAAGTGCTTCCCTGACAGAATCGAGGCCTCTTGTTGACACGGGACCCTCTGTTAGGCAATGTGGATCCCTAACTGATACAGGAGCTCAAAATTGTTGCAGGTGTCCCACCAATATTAATCGCGGGTCCGACCTTGTTCCTGCCTGGTAAATGGGGCCCGAGAGCTCAGACCGGTACGGAGCCAACTGTTAAGTGTTGTTGATCTCTAGCCGAAGGAGAGGAACGCACTGCTTCGGGGGAGCCCAATCGGTGCAAGGGGCCCTCTGACTGACATTTGAGGTCAGGGGCGGGGGTCCTTAGTGTGACCTATGCACGGCCAGCACTTCCGGCACTTCGGCTTTCCAGTCTGACCCATGGTCTTTGGTCTCGAGAGACTATTCTTCCAGTACTCTTCAGGCTGTCTCAAACACGGCTCCTGGCTGACTCGGGGCCACTTGCCGACATGGAACCCTGTTAGGCACTGTGGCCGCTGACCGACACAGGAGCCCCTCTGCGTAGTGTCAGGGATCCCGAATGTTGCAAAGTTGTAACGTTGCAACGTTGTAAAGCGCGGACCCGGCCTCATTCCTGCTTAGCAAATGGGTCCTAAGGGCTGAGACGGAGACGGAGCCGACTGTTTGGTTCCGTGTCGAGGTCCTATATAATGGAGACAGAAAACCCGAATAAGGGGCCTTAATAGAAACGCTCTGACTGACATTTCAAGTCACGGCACTACGGTGGGGGGGGGGGGGGGAGGGGGGCATGCCCGAATCCAATCGGATCTTTGTCCAGCCCCTGATACCTGGTCCCCAGGGGCCTAACATGAACCCTTCTTAGGAGCCCTGACCGACACACCCATGGCTTCAGTGACGCCGGTTTACGCAAAGATTGGGTTCGGCCTTGCGCGACGAGCATGCTTGGGAAATGAACCCCTGGGGCTCAGACCGACACTTAGGCGACTGTTGGGTATTGGTGCTCTTTAGCTGAAATAAAAGCCCCACTGTCCCAAAAACCACAGTCGATGCAAGATGCCCTCCGCCTGACTGTTCAGGTCACGCCTTACGGGCGTTGAGGAGGGGGGGGGGGGGGCTCAATGTGACCTGCAGCCAGTCCTTCGGGCCGTTACGCCTCCAATCGCCTGACCAATCCGCCTGACTGTTCAGGCCACGCCTTACGGGCGTTGAGGAGGGGGGGGGGGGGGGGGTCAATGTGACCTGCAGCCAGCCCCTCGGGCCGTTACGCCTCCAATCGAGCCCTTGATCGTCGGCTCCGGTGGGCCGCCTGGCCCCTCCTCGGGCCTCATTTAACAATGCCCTCGGTTAGCCCGGGGTGCCTTGTAAACGCAGGACCTCCTAGTAGGCACTGTGGGCCCCTGGTAGATACAGGAAACCCGACCAGTGTAAATCGATGGTCCTGGCTTTGTAACTGCTTGAGAAGTGGATCCTCAGTCTCATTCCGGCACGGGGCCGGCTGTGCGTTATTTGTGATGTCTGACCAAGATTTTGCCCTCATCGGCACAGGGGTTGCCTATCGGTATAAAGGACTCTGACTGTCATTGAGGGGCTTGTCCCCGTAGGAAGAACCCCCTGCATAAATCTTCGACCAGCCCCTCTTGCCCCTAAGTCCTCCAAACGGATCCTTGTAGGTCCTCCAGGCTCTTCGGGCCTCCTCAGACAATGCCTCTGCCCAACTCGGGATCCCTTGCCAACACATGGCCCCCTGTCAGGCGCTGTGGGGCCCTAACAGACGCTGGCGCCCCGACCAATGCAAACTGCTGGCTCCGGCTTTGTCTCGGCTCGGGAAATGGGCCCTCAGGCCCATGCCGACACAGTCGACAACGCGTAACTGGTGTTGTCTGACCGACATTTAGGCCCTTGTCAACTCAGGGGGTCCCTAATCAGCGCGCAGGGCCCTCTGACTGGCAATGAAGTGTCCGGCTTTGCGGGCCGGTCCCCTGAATACGACCTCCGGCCAGCCTTTCAGGCCTCTTGGGCCCTCAAATCGGGCTCTTAGTCGTAGGTTTCCCTGCGCCCCTTGCCTGCGCCACTGGGTGACCCTGAAGTTTGAACATACGTTCCAAGCGCAAGAAGAACCGCAACGCCCTAACCAATACAAAGATGCCTCAAACCCTGGGGGTGGGGTGTACGAATATTCAATGTCCGCCTCTAACGTCCAAAACACGTCCGAGCACCAGAACTAAACCCTTTAAAAACGAAATACTCCGACCTTTGACGGGACGTGCCTGAGCACTAGAATGGGGTGCTTTGGGCTGAAAATACGTTATGAAGTCAAGACGAGCGCCCCTCGGGACTCAAAGAATTTCTCAGGCTCTGAGATGTTTCGAGGGCCGTGGTAACGTAGAGTTTGGGTGCCCAAAGCGCGGCGGGACTGCCTCAAAGACCCGCAGAGCATCCATGACATCTGCACACGTGCTTTCAGAATAAAAAGTGTACTTACATAACTGACTTAATACAGACCCATAATTTAGGTCACCAGAGAATGCACCCATTTACACCATTTTTAACATGATAAAAATAATGTCATGTTGCAAGGAATTCACGGGATTGTGATATGGTAGCTTCGACAGTTGAGAAGCAGGCAAGACGAGAACTTGCGCTCCAATGCAAACAACACAAACCATTTTGGCTGCGTCCAGAGAAGTGGGTGTCTGGTCTTCACCCGGGATAACCGTGTGGGATATATCTCTGGTGGCATTTTGATTCTGCAGCTCTTGGAAAACTGGTAAGTGGTCTTATTTTCATCGTTTCATAGGCCATCATTGAAATTCAAATTTCGAAACGAGAGTGACCAAAAAGCCTTGTAGCTCTTTACATTTTGGAACTGCGTGTTGGTTGGTAGCTGTCCACATTGACTTTTAGAAAAGATGGGGTTCTGATTTGCGTCTGGGCTGAAATAAAAAAGGCTGGTATGAACTGCAAGTCAATTCAAGAGTATATCTTCTGATGTCATTTTTGTGACACAACACTAGTTTGTGTTATTGACATGTAGGGTATAATTACCCATTTGATTTGGTTATGATATTTGTACATGACAATTATCACAAAGGTGCTGAGGTGAGCATACACTATTTTCCCCCAGGTCTTGTTTGCCCTGCCACCTCTGAAGTTATGTAATTTTATATTGTCTCTGGCATCAGGCTTTGTAATATAGTGGTTTTATGATGCATCTCCCCCTGAAGCAGCTGTATTGACGGTCTGTCATGCCTTCAGCATTTATCAGATTGTATACATGCAATATCATACACTCTAGAATGTATGAATGTGGTGTCACACTTCATACAACAGTAAGGCGGGTGTGGCATGATGGTGATATAACAACAATGTTTGTATGCAGGGCACTAGGCATGCTGCTGCGCACAAACAAGCATGCCTGTACCAAGCCTCTGTGCTGAAAGTATCTCAGAATGGGGATTTCTGCATCACATGTATGCACTGAAAAGGGTTTTAGTAGGAAAACAGATTAACCTTTACAAGTGACAATAGAAATAGCAACAACTATGTTGATGCGGGCAGGTGCACAACTCTGTATGCATGGGAGTTCAGCCAAGTGCCAAAAAATATACTAGTACTGTCAGTGGCATGGTTGAAATGATGTTGCTTGAAATGAGTTTATGAAAGATGTTAGTTATAAATACTCCTTTAACTGCATTGTCTCAGGACAGATAAACTTCAAAACCTACATATGTACTCCAGGCATTTTGGCTGAAAACATAAAAACCTTTAAAGAAACATTGGAAGAGGCAGGCTGAAGAAAATTTATCCTTTATAAGTGCACTTATCCCCTAAACTCTTTCATCTTTGTAACCCACACTTCCTATTGGTGTCATAACTAGATAGCACCAGTTGCATCATTAGGGCAACCATGGTGAGTTATAATGGCATGAGTGTTCACTTTCATTTCAAGTTATGCAGGGTATTCTTTGCTGTAAATATAGGGACCTCCCCATAGTGTCACCAACCAGTAACGATTTGCAGTGCCTTCTACGTCTATGATATCCTACTCACATCACCGTGCTTATGCCATGGTATGACAAATGGCAATGCTCTTAGCCTCAAATTCAGCACTTACTACAAGCAATGCAATATGTCAGTGATCTGATTTTTTTATCCTGGCTGTTCCAGGGCAGAATGAGCACCTTAAGATATGAAATACCTTTTTAGCAGTTGCCATTGCTTGCTAGGAAACATGATTTTGTTGGGTTAAGTGATGTCAGACTGATCATCATCAGGTGACTTACCATCATCCCAACCTTTCTTTTAAAAAGAAATCACAGCACAGATGATCAGTGAGGTAGGCTCTGCTTTTATCTTGGAAAACAAGACATTGGTGGAGTCTGGCTAAATAAGGCACAATCTGGTGCCAGGTAGTGGAGATGTCATAGAAATTAGAAAGAAAACATTAAAGTCATATGTTGATCATGACAATAATTATTCAATAAGGAACTGCTGAACAGATTTGGGGATAATTGGCAAATGATACACCATCACACCATATGCTGTAACTTGCTACTAAACCCCATTTTTATGGTGACGGTGAATGAGACACCCATATTAATTCCTGTATCTCTTGGTACATTGTCTGTTGTCATTCAGGCTGGTTTGATACAAAGCTGTAGACGCAAAAGCTTAAAAGCAGCCAGTCAGCATCAAACTAAGAGGTAGTCAACCCAGCACCCAAATGCCTCAGATGTGACAAATGGGCCAGGCAGGTCAGATGCCTGGGTTCAGGATCACAGCTGAACTGAGGAGTGCCAACAAATTGTTTGTGGAAGCTGCTGGAGAGCTAGGATTCTGGTAGAATGAATTTATGTTTACATCGTGCACACCCTACTGCATATATTTGTTTAATGTTGCCTCTCACTAGCAGGTGGCTCACGTCATGGAAGGAGCACACATTTTCAGTATTTGTTCAGCATACATGGGTGCAATAAGCAAGAGCTGACCACAACCCTGACCCTGCTTTGGCAGGTCCACAATGAGCAACTACAAACCTGGCGCGTACGGCCGCAACTACAGCTACAACTACCAGACGGGTCCCACCAAGCGGCCGGACGTGCCGCCGCCGCCGCCCAACGCCCAGAAGAGCAAGCATGGCTACAGCACCATGTCCTCCATCGCCAGCACCGCCCTGGCCACCTACAACTTCAACGCGCCCAAGCGCAAGATGCGCTCAGAGGAAGAGTGAGTGGACTGGGTCACGGCACCAAGCGGGACGGATCGCGCGCAGCTGCTTAGTGAATCACTGGCCCGGAGCGTCATCAATCAGGACGTCATTCAACAACTAGCTTGTATGCTGCGAGGGCTGTTCTTTATGACCACCGGCTGCGTGCGCTGAGTCAAGTACGTCACGGTGTTATTCGGCCTGTCATTCACATCACTACAAGTAGTCTTTGTGTGGGGACTGATGTGTAGTTGCGTGTTACATGCTCGCTGTACCCTTCTACCCGTCTGACCACGCCGTGCCTGCCAAACGAACACCGCACGTGCGCCGCCCTCGCCGCCGTTTTCTGGCGCGGGCGGGCGCCTCCACCGGCGGCCGAGCGGCGCAGCTGACGCGGGGCGTCGGCAGGTACTTCGACTCGGACGGCGAGGGCGAGGAGGCCACCCCCGGCATGGCGTACATCCCGGCGCCGGGCAGCCCGTCGGCCGACGAGCGGCGTCGCGGCCAGACGCGCTCCGACTCCGACGACGAGGAGGACCCACTCGACGCCTTCATGGCCGGCATCGAGGAGCAGGTGGGGCGACGTCTCGGGCGGTGGCCGGTGTGTGGTGTGGTGGTACTGCCGCGAGCGGTGGCCGGTGTGTGGTGTGGTGGTACTGCCGCGAGCGGTGGCCGGTGTGTGGTGTGGTGGTACTGCCGCGAGCGGTGGCCGGTGTGTGGTGTGGTGGTACTGCCGCGAGCGGTGGCCGGTGTGTGGTGTGGTGGTACTGTCTCGGGCGGTGGCCGGTGTGTGGTGTGGTGGTACTGTCTCGGGCGGTGGCCGGTGTGTGGTGTGGTGGTACTGTCTCGGGCGGTGGCCGATGTGTGGTGTGGTGGTACTGTCTCGGGCGGTGGCCGGTGTGTAGTGTGGTGATACTGCCGCCGGCGGTAGCCGGTGTGTGGTGTGGTGGTGCTGCCGCGGGCTGTGGCCGGTGTGTGGTGTGGTGGTACTGTCTCGGGCGGTGGACGGTGTGTGGTGTGGTGATACTGTCTCGGGCTGTGGCCGGTGTGTGGTGTGGTAGTACTGCCGCGGGCTGTGGCCGGTGTGTGGTGTGGTGGCACTGTCTCGGGCGGTGGACGGTGTGTGGTGTGGTGGCACTGTCTCGGGCTGTGGCCGGTGTGTGGTGTGGTGGCACTGCCGCGGGCTGTGGCCGGTGTGTGGTGTGGTGGCACTGTCTCGGGCTGTGGCCGGTGTGTGGTGTGGTGGCACTGTCTCGGGCTGTGGCCGGTGTGTGGTGTGGTGGTACTGCCGCGGGCTGTGGCCGGTGTGTGGTGTGGTGGTGCTGCCGCGGGCCGTGGCCGGTGTGTGGTGTGGTGGTACTGCCGCGGGCTGTGGCTGGTGTGTGGTGTGGTGGTACTGTCGCAGGCGGTGGCCGGTGTGTGGTGTGGTGATGCTGCCGCCGGCGGTAGCCGGTGTGTGGTGTGGTACTGCCGCGAGTGGTGGCCGGTGTGTGGTGTGGTGGTACGGCCGGTGTGTGGTGTGGTGCTGCCGCGGGCTGTGGCCGGTGTGTGGTGTGGTGGTACTGCCGCGGGCGGTGGCCGGTATGTGGTGTGGTACTGCCGCGAGTGGTGGCCGGTGTGTGGTGTGATGGTACGGCCGGTGTGTGGTGTGGTGGCACTGCCGGTGTGTAGTGTGGTGGTACGGCCGATGTGTGATTTAGTGCCTCGTGACGCGCACATTTGGGAAGCTAAGCGTCGAGCAGTGACGCGTCGGGACGCTCAAACACCGAGTGGCGCACGGAACTGGTGAGGATCTGTTCAGTTCTTTTCCAGCGGGATTCGGAATTGGGATGCGTTGCTATGCCTTGCAAATATGGTTTCTTGGTGTGTTGCGGTAGGATTCCATTCGAGCGATGTTAAGTATGACTTTACTGGTGCGCTTTGGACTGTATGTCAAACCAGTTATCCATTCCCTTCACCTCTTCTCTATGGCGTGTGCCGCCTTACACAGCTGAATTTTCACATTCCACGCTAGCAGGAGAGCCGTTTTGGACAGCCAGGTTCATGCTCCTGTGGCTGATCAAATGATGATGATGCTTGGCCCGCAGACAAAGAAGGGAAAAGGTGGTAAGGGGTCCAAGAAGAAGCAGCCCGCGAAGGGTGTGAGGGACGACATCGAGGGCGAAGACGACCACGAGTCCTTCTTCAGGTCAGTCTGCCGTCGGAGCCTGGGTGACTATAACGACTCCGGCAGGCCAAAAACGTCTTGTCATGCCTGTGGCAGCACTTGTTTATTTTGGTTCAGTTGATACCACTGCACTGGTCGGAGGCACGGCTCTTACATTCATGTCAATGCTAGCCACGGTCCTGGTGCGTTATACGAGGATCCATCGCTCACTACCACGTTTTTACGTTGACAGTCACGTGTAATGCCACACAGTAACCAAGCCAAGTAAGCGTGTATTGTCCCGTGCCATGGCGGCGGGGTCGACAGCCGCCCTCACAGACAGGTGACAGGGGTGCCACGATTGTACTGGCTGTCCCGTCGGGTGGACGCGACGCGTTTCGTCCTTCGAGCGTGGCGCCTCCCTGCGGCCAGGTATATCGAGGAGAACCCGAACGCCGGGGCGCACAATGACGATTCGGACCAGGAGGTGGAGTACGACGCCGAGGGCAACCCCATCGTACCCGTCAAGTCCAAGGTAGGTGCGGCGATGACGAGGCCTCCGACGCCTGCTGGGGGTGTGGACGTGGGAGTGGAACGTGACAGATGACGGGGGCTCCGACGTCTCCTGGGGTGTGTTCGTGAAAGCGGAACGTGAGAGATGACGGAGCCTCCTACGCGTGCTGGGGGTGTGGACGTGGGAGTCGAACGTGATAGATGACGGGGGCTCCGATGTCTCCTGGGGGTGTGTTCGTGAAAGCGGAACGTGATAGATGACGAGGCCTCCGACGCCTGCTGGGGGTGTGGACGTGGGAGTCGAACGTGATAGATGACGGCAGCTCCGGCGGCGGCTGGGGTGCGCTGTGAGCGAGACATGGAGGGACCCTGGATGACATTCACCCGATGTGACCGGGCGCGGCACGGCCACGGTCTGACCGTCGGAGAGCTGCAGCCAACAAGCTGCAGCCAGTGACACCAGCGACGTGCCGCCGCTGTTCCATCCGCCCTCCTGTCAGTGCGCGTCTCTGACGGCGCCGTGGCCTCATCTGCCTGCCAGTACATCGACCCGTTGCCGGCCATCGACCACAGCCAGCTGCACTACGGCGAGTTCGTCAAGAACTTTTACATTGAACCCGAGGACATCACGGCCTTGTCGCTGCTGGAGATCGAACAGCTACGCCACAAGCTCGGGATCAAGGTGAGCGCCAGCGATGCTGCTGCAAGGCCGCCAACGCTGTGTGCTGGGTTGGCGATACTGCGGACCAGTATATGCTGAACGCTCTTTACGTACTTGGGGAAAAGACTGGTGACAGGCGCTGGGAAATTGCTGGGAAGGGAGCTGTCGTTTCAGGGACTTTCCTTGATATTCCAGAAGTGGCTGCTCGTACGTGGCTTTGCGTGAAGATGAAATGGTAATAACAGGAAGGCAATGCAATTCTGGCAGCCACTGAGTCACCTGCGAGACATCGATTTGTAGTCGTCCATCAGTGGTTTGCCGGCGCATCAGTGGTGTGACGCGTATTCGGCGGCCTCAATGAGACGCTCCTTGAGCGGGGTGATTTAGTTAAAGGCGGTCTGGAAGTGCTTCACTTTCGGATCTTTTGTCTTGTGTTTTTGGACAAGCACGACGGTGTGGAAATGCACTGTTTCCTCGGATCGTTCAGACCCTGCCCCCTGGTAAGCCGCGTGGCCTCGCATCGTCACACAGGCCCTCCTGCATTGAGTCCCGCCATTTTCCTCGCGCCAGCAACCGCACCCTGTTCCGTGGCAAAACTTGACTGGCCTCTTTCGGTGATCTGCTCCAGGTCTCGGGGCCTTCACCAGCGCGGCCGGTCACCTCGTTCGCCCACTTCGGCTTCGACGAGAGCCTGCTGAAGGTGATCAGGAAGCTGGAATACACCCAGCCCACGCCCATCCAGTCCCAGGCGGTGCCTGTGGCGCTCGGCGGCCGTGACGTGATTGGTGAGTTCAGGCGGCGGCGGTGATCTGATTGCATGATGGACATGGAGGGAGTGTTCTGATTGGTAGACGGAGATGAAGGCCATGTTTTGATTGCTGAGTTGGGGTGGCGGCGATGGTGTAGTTGGTGTGTTGAAGGGTGACTGTAATGTGATTGGTGAATTGAAAATAGTTGGTGATTGTGTCTCACGTGGGCACCGCGGGGTGCAATGAGAGGCGGAGGAGCTCTCGTGATGAGATTGGTAAGTTCAAACGGTGGTCTCGATGCAGTTGAGTCATTGACTGAAGGGCCAGCGGAGTCGGCTTCTTTGATGTGTGGAGAAGATGAGCAAAGTTGATCGCATTTCTGTGATTGGGGCGCCCATCCGAACTGGGTGTCTTTTGAAGTGATTGATGTGAATGGTGAGTGCAACTAAGCATCGTGGTTATATGGCTTTGTGTTGGTAGCCACGCCGTGATTTTTCGACCCCTCGGGTGGGTGCACCATGGTTGCACGCATGTGCGCATTCTCTGTGCTCCGACAAATGGTCGTGGCGGCGTGCATCGTTGTGGTAGCCCGTCACTGGCGGTTTTTCTGAACTTCCTGAATATGAACTCGCTGGTCAAACCGAATTTATCAATGTAGCGAATAGCGTGCGGTTTCGGTTCGGAATATTCGCTTTTGCGTAAACACGCAAAACCGAATATTCAAATAACGCGTCGCCATGGGGGCGCTGCAGGTTCGAAACCGAGCCTTTTGCCGTGGTGGTCAATTACCAGGCAGCGCTGGTGGGACCAGCCGGAGTGGCGGCGTGCTCAGCCGGAGTGACGGCGTGTCCAGGCGGAGTGGAGGCATACCATGTCGGGGTGGTGGCGTGCCCAGCCGGAATGGTGGCGTGCCCTGTCGGAGTGGTGGCGTGCCCAGCCGGAGTGGCGTCGCGGCCACCCGGAGTGGCGGCGTGTCCAGGCGGAGGGGAAGCATACCCTGTCGGAGTGGCGGCGTGCCCAGCAGAGGCGTGCCCTGTCGGAGTGGCGTCGCGGCCACCCGGAGTGGCGACGTGCCCAGCCAGAGTGCCTGAGCGCCGTGGTTGTTCCGTGCGCCAGGCATCGCCAAGACGGGCTCGGGCAAGACGGCCGCCTTCCTGTGGCCGATGCTGGTGCACATCATGGACCAGCCGGAGCTGAAGCAGGGCGACGGGCCCATCGGCCTCATCCTGGCGCCCACCCGGGAGCTCTCTCAGCAGGTCAGACAGCAGGCGGACCAGAGCTGCGTAGCCGGAGGGGTCGGACGGGCCAGCCAGCGGATCGGGGGGGAGGGGGGTGGAGGTTGCCGGCGCCTTTGTCGAGCTTAGCTTAGTGGTGCTCGACCTGGGATGCCGCTGGGATCAGGTCAGTATGGCCCGAGAGGCCGGCGGCGTCCGGTCAAATGCACGTGTGGTCTGGCGGAGGGGGCTGGGGCTCCCATCTGTCGCAGCGTCCGCTGCACTGCCGCGCCATCTGTCGACGCCGCTCCGCGCGCGCTCTCAAGCTCGCCTCCGCCGACGCCCCCGTCGCCGCCGGCAGATCTACTCGGAGGCCAAGCGCTTCGGCAAGGTGTACAACATCCACGTGGTCTGCTGCTACGGCGGTGGCTCCAAGTGGGAGCAGTCGAAGGCGCTGGAGGCTGGAGCCGAGATCGTCGTGGCCACACCTGGTGAGGCTGCTCGCGGTGGTGGCGGGGCTCTGCCCACCCGCTGCTGCCCCGCTGGCGGGGGCGGGACCCTGTCTGCACGCGGCGGCGGGGCCCTGCCCGCCCGCTGCCACCCCGCTGGCGAGGGAGGCCCAGTACGCGCCTGTGACAGCGGCTAGCTTTACTGATGCACCGATGCCACGGGAGCCGTCGCGGCCTGTACGTTGACAATGGAACGCACGCATCCCGCTGGCGGTAGTCTTCACCAGCCTGCAAAAGCCTCGGTCCCAGTCCTCTTCGGTGCGTGCCCGCAAACACGGCAGAACCACCAGGTTTCAGCGATGTGAAGCCAGACTGCCGCGTGTGCGATGCCACGCGTGCTGGACGTGGTCGGCTCGTCAGGCGCCGCTGCTCGGAGGAGGTGGTGGGATGCGTGACGCTCGATGCTTGACGCCCGCCTCCGTTGCTGCCAGGTCGAATGATCGACATGGTCAAGATGAAGGCCACGAACCTGATGCGCGTCACCTTCCTGGTCATGGATGAGGCCGACAAGATGTTCAACATGGGGTTCGGTAAGCGGTAGACATTCTGGACCAGGGACATCCGCTGTTAGTCTGTGCCTCCATCGCCGAGCCGTGTGACCTCCACAGAGAAGGCTCAGGTGAAAGCGGGCAAATGATGGCGACTGCTGTCAACACTGTGACTCAACAGCTCATTACTCGGTTAACTGTGTGACTGCAGTTGATTCACCCTAAAGCCCCCCCCCCCCCCCCCCTGCCTCGGCTGTGCGTAGTCCCGTTGAAGATGTGTTTATGGGCAATGGATGAATGCTATGGATGTTTACTGGTATATTTGCACCTTTGATTCAGCAAGTCGTACCTCAGCAGTTGTGTGTAGACCCGCGTTGGATGTCCTTATAGGCAATAGAGCTATGGTTATATGGAACTCCTCTGTAGAATCCATGGATTCCAAGTCTTATGATTGTAAAGCAAGTGTTGGTGAACTTGCACGTTGCAATATTCAGAGTTTTGGAACAAACTTATCTTTTGTATATATTTTTGGGCACGCCGCACGCTCGTATACCAAACCCAAAACAAAAAGGACGCCACCAAAGCACACCAGAATGAGTAATTAGACAAATGCTACAATATCTTCACGCGTCAAACCATACACAAAGCTTCACAATTTAGGTCAGCTCATTCTGAAAATAATGTAGTGATGGTCTGCTAGAAAAAACTACAGACTACAAAATACGCCATGATGAGATAGTATTGTTGAGCTTAAGTTTCTGTTGAGGAATGCTAAGTGATTCAAAAAAAAAATTGGCGACGATAAGCCGTGGTTTGTTGCAAAATTGGAATTTTGTTGAATTTAATTTTCTTAAATTGATGGGCATTGCCTTGCCTTTTTCTGCGTGGAACACACTACAGAGATTGAATCCTATATGTATATATATATATATATATATATATATATATATATGCATAATACATACATACATACATATATACATGCATACATACATGCATCCCTGCCGACCGACCGACCGACCGACCGACCGACCTACCGACCGACTGACCGACCGACCGACATGCATGCATGCATGCATGTATGCATACATACATACATACATACATACATACATACATACATACATACATACATACATACATACATACATACATGCATGCATGCATGCATATGCACATAGTATATATATAGGGTGCGTGTGTGTGCATATACATATACATATGAATGAACGGAACATTAATACAGCTTAGGCCGCGTTATATCTGGAAGGGAGTATTCCACGCTGATATATTTTGAACTTCAATGACCACGTTGAAGATTACGCGGTGCAGTTCACAATCCTGGCCTTTATTAATACCTAAACTCTTCTAGTTTCGGAGGTGCACGCCCACGAAGATGTGCGGTCTGCGTTGGGAGACTATTTCAAGGTCACTGGGGCATTCACGATTCCATAGTGACGCCATTCAAAGCCTGCCATTCCGTTGGCCATGTGGCCATCAAAGCCAAGCAAAAGATAGTTGCTGAGTCGTTCATATCTGGCATTCGGAAGCAGGAGTGCGAGATATAACGGCCGTCAATTGGCTCTCATTCCATGTTGTGCAAGGTACGATGGCGGAAAGAAACCGTGACATGTTGAGGAGCATATTTACTGGACATGGAAGCTGTGTGGTGTAGAGCAGCTTTTTCCACTCATCAGTTTACCAATGGTTATAATAAGCGAGCATACTTTATTATATATGACGCTTTCTTCAAAATATTGTCATGTGGGACATTCCCTTTAACGTCACTGTTCGCTTTAGTTGGTAAGCCTGAGAGGTTCAGCCTTACAGCTTCAACTTTGTTTAAACAGGGTGGCCGTCTGTGTGATAAAGGCGATAACACGATACGGTCTTATGGCAGGGGGATTCGATAGCCCCGCCGCTGTCCCGTCAGCCGGGACACAGCTGCAGGTTACGTCGTGACAAGGAGCGCGCTAAAACGTGCGATTAAAAACGCCCGTTACGCACGCACGCACGCACGCACGCACGCACGCACGCACGCACGCGCGCACGCACGCGCGCGCACGCACCGCGCCGCACGCGCGCACGCACGCGCGCAACGCACGCGCACACACACACACACACACACACCACACCACACACACACACCACACACACACACACACCACACACACACACACACACACACACACACACACACACACACACACACACACACACACACACACACACACACACACACACAACACACACACACACACACACACACACACACACACACACACACACACACACACACACACACACACACACACACCACACACACACACACACCACACACACACACACACACACACACACACACACACACACACACACACACACACACACACACACACACACACACACACACACACACACACACACACACACACACCACACACACACACACACACAACACACACACACACACACACAACACACACACACACACACACACACACACACACACACACACACACACACACACACACACACACACACACACACACACACACACACACACACACACACACACACACACACACACACACACACACACACACACACACACACCACACACACACACACACACACACACACACACACACACACACACACACACACACACACACACACACGGCCGTCCTGGCCGCCGGGTCAGCCGGCCGGCGCCGCTGAGCCAGAGTGGGAGCGAACACCGCCACACGTGCCGCTGTCTCGGATTGACGTCAGCGCCGCTCGGGGGTGGACATTGACACGGATTACCGGGTCCGAGCGGCACTGGGATCAAGAGCGACGATAACGATAGCTCGTAATGCTGGACGATTGTCATGCGATCTGGGCTCGCCTCGGGGCTGCCGTTTTATAGCCGTAATAATCTTGATGCCGTGTGGCAACGCGTGCCCGCCGGATTGTCGGGTGGTAGCTCGGCTGCCAGTGCCACGTTGATAGATACCCAAATATAGATTGATAGATACCCAAATGAAGCGCGGTCTATGGAGACATTGCAGCATTGCGTTTGATAGATACCCAAATGAACCGTTTTCTCTGGTGACACTATAGGATTGCGTTCAGTTGATAGATACCCAAATGAAGCGTGTACTCTGGAGACATTGCAGGATTGCGTTTGATAGATACCCAAATGAACCGTGTTCTCTGGTGATACTACAGGATTGCGTTTAATTGATCGATACCCAAATGAAGCGCGTTCTCTGGAGACATTGAAAGATTGCGTTCGATTGATAGATATCCAAATGAACCGTGTTCTTTGGTGACACTGCAGGATTGCGTTCGATTGATAGATATCCAAATGAAGCGCGTTCTTTGGTGACACTGCAGGATTGCGTTTGATTGATAGATGCCCAAATGAAGCGCGTTCTCAGGAGACAGGTGGGCGCGAGACAGCTTTGAGGGCGAGGAGGAAGATGGACTCCGTTGGAAAAATGATCTGTGCGGGACTCATAGGCTTTATAGCTACAGCACAAGCCATAGCACTTGCAACACAAAAGTTGCGCAGTCAGCACTGCCAAATCTGTCACATAAGCAGTGTTATATGCAAATTTTTACTAGCGGGAAACTTTGGCTAGCAGGAAATCAGTGTTTTCTTGTATTGGCCAATGACACTCACAAACTTACCACACTCATATCAGTATGCCACCCAGCATCATGTCATCTACTTTGCGCAGCCCAAGAAACACATTACCTACTCCCACACTAATGCATTTATGAGCAGCCTGCAACAGTGAGCTAAGCTACAGAAATGACTCATGAATGCCACATAGTGGCAAAAATTGTGTAACTATGTTGTCTTTCCCCATCCAATGCATTATCAGTACCTGAGGGCAGCATTGCCATTTAGACTTGGCATGGACTGGCAAGTCAGAATGCAGCTATTTGCTTTCTTGACATACTAGGGTTGAATACTGCTTTGATATCCTTGCAGTCAACAGCATTGGCTGATATGGACTGATGGCTAGGTGGCACAAACAGCTGTGTTCGCACAGTCCAAAGATCATAACATGTGAACCAGCCCCAGAGCTGTCATGACAAAAGCAAATTGGGCTCAAAATTCACAACAAATGATTAATTATAACAACAGCTCAATTATCCACCTCATGGTTTGCAGAGATACATGTCACAAAAAAGCACCAAGGTAACATATTTACTCACCAGTACAAAAACAGGTAATGATGTGCACCACAGATGTTCTCTGCACATCATGTGGCATTATGTTAGGTTTACTCAGTTTACGCACTGTTTTCTTCCACATGAAATGCACAACCTGGAGTTGACAGAGTACTGATGACAGCTATTTTCATCCAGTGCTCACATTTGCTTTCTTGACATTTTGGAACCATCACTGGGCAATTTTAGTGCCATCATTAAAAATAGTTCACATTCTGCACTTACTGCAATGATTTATTGCCTATATTTGTTGATCCTTTGCATCATGCAGGAATTATTGAGTTACCTATCTCACACACCTTAAACCGACAAGCAACAAACAGCGTAATCGCATAAAAACAAACATTCCAGCCCCTGCTTCCTTGCCAGTTGGTCTACCAGTGCGATGTAACTTCATATTTCCTTGACGAGCCAGTCACCAATATCCAGCACATCCCTCCTGCCAATAGGTGGTCAACCAAATGTTCAAGTCACAGGAGGAATGTCTGCAAAATCAATCCTGGGGCATTTATGTATTCACTTAATGAAAGAAACTATCAGTACTCCCTGCAAGAATTGTTGAACAGTTGAAGTGTCTACCTCATGGCCTGCAAAGACACCCATCAGAAAAAAACACCAAGGTGACATATTTAATCACCAGTACAAAAACAGGTGATGATATGCAACACAGACATGTTCTCCATGCAGCATGTGTCATTGTGTTAGGTGTTAGTTTATGCACTGTTTTCCTGCACATGGAACACACAAACTTGGATTCAGCAGAGTAATGATGACAACTATTTTCATCCAGTGTTCACATTTGCTTTCTTGCTGTTCTGACCCCGTCATTGGGCAATTTCGGTCCTACCATTAAAAAAGTTCACATTCCGAGCTGACTGCAATGATCTATATTTGTTCATCCGTCATATCATGCAGCAATTTTTAAGCTACCTTTCTCACACAAATTTAACTGACAAGCAACCAGCATCCTATTTTAAGGAACATCTGCAAGAACACTCCTGGGGCCTTTAGGTATTAACTTAATGAAAGAAACTTGGAGGCATTCTCTGGAAGAATTTTGAGCAATCCAAAAATTAAAGTGAGAACAAGTCAAAGCTATACAAAATGACCATATTACCTCCATCTGGCTTTTGGAAGCATGGAGCCTGCCCCAGATGTAAATCAATCTAACCTAGGCGGAAAGATAACACCAAAACACCGCCGACGCCTGCTGTCTGCATAGATCAAGCGCCTAGCAAGGCTAAATTACGTGAGCATTCTGTGCTGCTAGCCACTCAAGGCCCTCAATAATAAGAGTAGTTTTAGCAGCATGGTGTTCAACTTCACCTTCTTTCTCTTTTCCTTTACCATCTTGGACTTGGACCGTCTCAAGCAATAGCTAAAAACCCGTGGAAAAGCGGCAACACCAAACGAACTGAAATGGCCATGAACAGAACTGCGTGCGCCAGGCATTTTTCTTTTTTTGTTTGACTGCTGACGGCCGATAATTCGGACGAAATCCTTTCCTGAACGGATGATCCTCTCACGGGAAGGGATTTCCTCCGGCGCACGATTCGAATCAGCGGAACGGCGCGTGAGTGTATACATGGGCCGGATAGTTCGGATCGAGGACGGGTCCCGGCTCAATTCGAATCACAGCTGCCCATGTAAACAGGGTAATTACAGGACCGCGTTTGGGACTGCATTCGATTGCTTATGTCGGTAGGTGGCGCCTGTTTGACGGGGGCTGAGTGTTGCGACGGCATCTGACGTCACGACGTGTCTGCGTATGCCGTCTGTCAAACCGGCCGCATGCGGGTCATGTGTGGACCATGAGGATGATGGCGCCAGAACTGGGGCGAGCCATTGGCCAGTTCATTGGGCATTGGTGCAATGCCTGACCGTGACAGGCAGTATCTACCTCAGACCCATGGTAGCGCTGAGTGTGAGATAGGCGAATTTCGCCAGTCCCAATTTGGTGGCGGAATCAATCAGATTATAACCAGTGACATCTTGCTCTAGAAGTATTTGGCACGCTGTTCAGCTCACTGATAGAGCTGGATGGCAACATGCCTCAGGTGGGGGCGTTAAACATGTTCAAATGTTAAGAAAGATATCGGCATGGCTATCATTAGCCTATGATGATTAGTACGTCTTGTACGTCCGTCAAAGGTTCGCCCTCGTCACCTGATTGTGGTGCCCCATGGCGTGGTACTAACGTATCCGCAGTTCGGGAGCCATGTGACCCGTGGCGACCTCAGGTCAGACGCTGTCCGTGCCGCTCGTGCGATCCACGGACCCGCTAGGCGGCGATGGCAGACACCAGGCCAGTCAGTTCTCGGCCAGCTCAGCAGTAACTGGGAAGTGCTCTCCTGAGGGAATGTTCGCATCTGCTGTAAAGTGATGTGTGCAACATGATCAGACTCTTGTCGAGCTGGACGTTAATACTTAGCGCGTGAAATTGCTAAGCTCTTCTCGCCCACCCTGGCGACACGCCGTAAGTTGTTCGTGATTCCCAGCTCTGTGACAACAATCGTCTGAGTGGAAGGTAATTTCTAATTCGCTTGAGATTGAGTGCAGACCCAAGGCCTCGCATACCAGCTACGGTCATCCGGCGACTTCACCGCTAAGTCACGTGGTTGCGTGACGCCATCGGTTGCCCGTAGTGTTGGCTTGGTGGGTGCTCCACGAGTTGCGCAGGGAACCACTGATTGCACCCGAGTTGATGACATCACTGGAATAACTGGCCTCGGCCGCTGAAGAGATGACAGGAGCCTGTCCAGGACTGTGTCGTGGCCGTGCCTATGTCGATGCGGACGTGGATGTCGATGTCGATGTCGGTGTCGGTGTCGATGGCCCATTATCGATACACGGGATTTCACCCGGTTGGGTTTAAATTGTTCACTCCCGCCACATACTGCAGGTTTTTAGTCGGGCACGTTGGCACGAACTGAGCTGAGTGGCTCTAAACTGAACTGAGGGAACTGAGGTTCAACCCCGTGCGACACAGGCCCTGGATCTGAAGCATTCGGTGCCCGACGTCCCTGGCAGTGATATGACGTCATCGCCCACTATGACGTCCTCATGATGTTGTAATGCTGCTTGCATTGTCCATTTGATTGTCTGTCCCTGTCCCTTTGATCACTCGTTTACCGTCCCCGTGACCACCATCTCTGGCCCTTTGGATGTATTGTGTCCCTGTTTGTGCCGTGTGGTTTGGAACTGAAATCGCACGTTAGTCGTGCGGTCTGGCATGTAATCTATATGGCAGACGAGTACTTCGATCTGCCGCCGTATATGGGCCATGCCCGGTAGTGTGGTCCGTCGAATGGCTGTGTAAGAAGCATATTTTGATATTCGCACCGCCCTGTCCCGAAATTGTTTTTACACGCGGAGGCGCGTTACCTTCCTTCTGTCCTTGAGACGGTGGCGATGCCCTCGCTAGCCTCTGATGGTGCCATCCTTAAATCTCCGACAGCGTCGTCCTGGAGGCCTGGACAGTATCGTCCCTGAGCTCCTGGCGGTATTCTCTGAGGAGTTGCTAGTGCCGTACCAGAGGCCCTGACAGTGCTGTCCCCAAGGCCTTGACGGTGCGGTCCCTGAGAATCTGAAGGTGCCGTCCCTGAGGCATTGAAGGTGCCGTCCCTGAAACCTTGATGGTACCGTCCCCGATAGCTTGACGATACTGTTCTTTAGGCTCTGACAGTGTCGTCCCTGATGCCCTGACGATGCCGTCCCTGAGGCCCTGACGGTGCCGTCCCTGAGGCCTTGACGGTGCCGTCCTTTAGGCACTGACGGTGCTGTCACTGCGGTCCTGACGTGCCGTCCCCGAGGCCTTGACGGTGCCGCCCCTGAGACCCTGACGGTGCCGTCCCCAAGGCCTGGACGTTGCCGCTCGTGAGGTCCTGATGGTGCTATCCCTGAAGCCCTGACGGTGCCGCTCGTGAGGCCCTGATGGTGCCATCCCTGAGGCCCTGACGGTGCCGCTCGTGAGGCCCTGATGGTGCCATGCCTGAAGCCCTGACGGTGCCGCTCGTGACGCCCTGATGGTGCCATCCCTGAAGCCCTGACGGCGCCGTCTGTGTCTGTCCGCAGAGCCGCAGGTGCGCTCCATATGTGATCACGTGCGGCCGGACCGGCAGACGCTGCTCTTCAGCGCCACCTTTAAGAAGCGCGTGGAGAAGCTGGCCCGTGACGTGCTCACTGACCCCGTGCGCATCATACAGGTACGGTCCGATGTCCTCTCTCCCCCGCTTGGCCGCCATACCGGCACCGCGCCGGTCCCGGGCCACCTGCGCCACCGCGGAGGTCTTGGCTCCTAGTTGGGTGCCGAGTTGGTGGCAAATAGGTTGTTGGCTCGAGGCGCGCTGTTTTGTTTTTTGTTGTTTTTTGTTCTTAGTAACTGCTTTCTCTTTTCTGTTCTGAAAGTTCTCAACACGACGATATATATATATATATATATATATATATATATGTATATATATATATATATATATATATATATATATATATATATATATATATATATGGGTGTGGGTGGGTGTTTTAGATCTCACGTAGTAGTTGGCCGCGCCCGTAAAAACAGTCAAGATGTAGTCGCAGTTTTCCTTTTTCCTTGACCTCGGATGCATACTTCATCAATCTTCTCGGATTTATTGGTAAAGACACGTACGATAGGCACCAGGAGACAGGTTGACAGATACCTGCTGTAGTGTTTCTCGTCAGGTTTTGTGTGCTTCACACTGGGGCCTGTGCCGTGTGTAGTAGTTGTGAAAAACGGGATACACAAAATACACCGGTGATCACGACAATCAGATCGTCCAAGTCCGCATCCGGCCCGAATGTCCGCAAAAAGAACTCGACGAGCGTCGCATACAGGCCGTGCCGAGCTATGGGTGTTTATTGACAACGAACATAAATACCGTTAACATCTTAAGTATAGCCAGTACGGAGTGTGGGCTCATTTTTTGCGGTATAGTGACGAGTTGATGTATTCCTTGCAGTTGGAAAGGTATAGAATCTCACGCCAGAATTTTGCTGCGCAGCCATGAGATCTGGGTGAACACACTGACTTTGTGATAGTGTGTTTGGGAGCGATGGGAGAGATTAGGACTTAGTTGAAATGTTACCACTGATATCAAGCCTAACTGAAAACTGTACCAAGGTAGCGTCAATTCTCCGGGCCCCGCTGCGTCAACAAAGCACTGCATTGGTTGTCAAAACCCACGCCAAACCGGGCTCTCCCGGTACGTACGCTCCACGACCTTAACCGCAGAATGACATCGAGAGACATAAGTGCTATGCATGCTGCATACATCTTAGCATGTTAAATCGTGAAAGACTTAAGTGCCAGCGTTAAGCGTTAGGCGTCGCTCAGGCCTGTTAAATCAGTTCATCGCTATGGACTCACTGGACGAGCGAATGCTTTCGTTGTTTTCAAAGTGAGGTGCAATCCAACGCGTACGCGGAGACATTGTACTGAGGCCGCTCAACGCGGCTTGTATTGACCCGGCATATTTTCTTCACCACTGCACGAAGGACGAGAAGAGTGTCAGTTTGAAGCTCCTGAGACATCCTTGCCCGTATCTGCCACTTTTTTTTGTTTTTGGTTGAGCGCTGCCAGTTTCCTGGAAAAGCTTTAAACTTTTCATTTCCAGCCTCGTCCTCTTGGAAGTGGCCTGCTGTCCTTGCGGCCTCGGGTCTTCTATTTCGAAGCTGGTCGTGGGTGCACTCGTCGTCCCAGCCTTTTGAAATGCCGTGTGCCGGCTCAGTGGCAGATATCTGTGGATAACTCGCGCCCGAGTGTTGCACCAGTGCCCCCCTGCCGTCTCCTTACCGCCCCACTCACAGTTCGACACGGGGTTCGGCGCCACATCTGAAGCGGGTTTGCGCGTCTGCCGCCTGCCGGTCGGTGCGGGAACCCGTCAGGCCGTGTCGGTGTATCAGGATGCGCTGATGCCTGCACTGTACGGCGCCCGTCCGATAAGATAGTGCGGGCCGATAGAGCCGGCCGCCCCCGGCCCCACTGCTGACCTCACGACAACGTGCCCGACACGAGCGGCCGCCACCCTGTCAGAGCGGCCGCCACCCTGTCAGAGCGGCCTCCACCCTGTCAGAGCGGCCTCCACCCTGTCAGAGCGGCCTCCACCCTGTCAGAGCGGCATCCACCCTGTCAGAGCGGCCGCCAGCCTGTCAGAGCGGCCTCAACCCTGTCAGAGCGGTCGCCACCCTGTCAGAGCGGCCTCAACCCTGTCAGAGCGGCCTCCACCCTGTCAGAGCGGCCTCCACCCTGTCAGAACGACGAACCTCGAGGCTGAGCCCGGAGCCAGCCACGACCTGGCCTTGGCTGGTGTCGTCCGGGTCAGCCATGTCACGGTGTGTTTCCTCCCGCGTCACCCATGGCCCCGACGTGGTGTCACCCATGCGTCGATGGTGGCTTGTCTCGTACCTGGGATGATGACTGCGCTCTCGCATGAGGCTGTGATGTCATCGTCAACCTCGTTGTGGCCTTCTCTGCGTTTCGATGGCGGTGACACGGAGTCATACTTTCTCTCGGAACTTCCTTTACTCTCCAGCAAGAATGTTGGCTTTATGTTTCAAGCGTAGACAAAAACTGATGAGTGAATTGCGAAATGGGGGAGGGCAAAACGCGCAGCGTTTTACAAAAACAACAAAAACGCCAACACTCTTAAGCGTGTCGCAGGCTCGCAGTTGTGTGCACAATGTGTTGCGCATGATAACATGACATGGTCCTGATATGTTGATTTGGGGGCGGCGTTGGTATAGTGGTTAGGGTGGTCGGCGCTGGACCAAACGGTCCTGGGCTCCCTTCCGCGCCTCCACCGCATCCCACGTTGTATGTGAGGCCATCCCATCATCCCGTAATGGCCCTGACAGTCGGTGAGACGAAAAGCCCGTACAATTATTACGAGCTGACCGTGCGTTTCGGACGGGGTGTTTAAATTGTGATCTGTTTATTTTTTGCGTGACGGCTGTGGTTTTGTATTGTCAATGCTCAGTGACATTCGTGTTGGCATGTGTAGAAAGTTGATAAACTGCGGCGAGGAGCACATGCCCCAGGTGCCCCACCCTCAATACGCCACTGAGTATAGCTGTGTCTTAGTTTTGTACTGGAGCACTCGACGGCGAATCACGCAAAGATAAGGCTGACGAGCGTGATTTTATGCTAAAAAATAGCATTTGGCGATTGCCGCGTGAACCGAGCGCCGGGCAACCTGACCCGGCTGGGGGTCACGTGATCAAATCGGAGGGATCGCGGTACCCATAGCACCGGAACTGTACTCGACGGTCTGTGCCAACATTGGGATTTTCGGAGATAAAGCTCGTGAATTGTTTGCTGGGCGAAAGAGGTGACTGTGGTTCACTCTCGAGCTTGGCTCTTGGAGGTACGAAACGAGCGCCTGACAGACGCGGCAGCACGCGGTCCGCAGGCTTCATGGTGGCTGTCAATGGTCCGGAAATGTGGTGTGCTTTCGTTGCTTGGGCACATTGGAACCTGTTTGGTCTCTGGTGAGCAGATCATCTCAAAAGGATGCTATGTACAGGAAGCTGTGAGAATTAACGATGCAAAAACAAACTATCATCTATTATTTTTATTCTGCTACTCCGATAAGTCACGCCCCCAACATGCGCTGCAGGTAACAGACCTGCGATATCATGCTCGTAGAACAGCGCTACCCCAAACGTGTTAGCATGGGTGGCGCTTAGTTTTCACATCAGTTCTGGATGCTTGCGTCTTTGATTGCTGGCAACACATCGCCTCACAGTTCGTGAATCCCCCAAACCTAGGCCGCCTTGAACTCACAGAGACAGGTTTATCAGTTCTCACAGATTAGTGCCGTCACTGGCTGCCACGATCACATTCTGCTGATGACACCGAACACTGAGTGATTGGTCGACAGCAACTGCGCAGTACATGACACGAGCGGTGTGAAACGAAGTGGACACGTCTTGAAAACAGGGCGCTAGTGCGCGTCAGTGCCTCGTGTTAGGCTCCACATTACTAAGATTCGACCTAAAGAAGCTCGAGACAGGTAGACGAGGCCAAATTTGACGTGGTAACGCAGGAGCCTGATTACGCTGATTACATAGAACTAGCACTGAGTAGGTGGGTCTCATGCAGCGCCCTGACTGCCATGGTGTCACTGAACGATTTTTGACACCATTTGAACATAGAAGCAACAAGTTGAAATGCGCAGTGGCGAAATCTGTCAGCTCTTTACCGTTACCGGCGAGAGGAAGGCGCAAGTTGGCGTCTTGTGGCGCCGCCCGAGTTCTCTCTGCCGCGCCTGGTGTGCCGCTACCCGCGGCCCAAAAAGCCTCGCCTTACCCGCAACGCTCCGACCTCACCGACAGTTGTCAGCGGAGTCAGCCGACGGGTCATTATCACAGGCGACCGCTGAAAGCCGTCGAGGACTTTCTCACAGGCTTGGTGCGTAGTTCGGTGTGTCAACGTCACCATCCCGTCCGATCCTAGAGGCTGCGTGGACACCGCTGCCTGCGGCGACCAAGCCGTCCGCAGAAGGCGCCGTCGGCGGCCGCTCCACCGGCGTTGTGGGTTCGGGTCGGAGTGCGCGGCGCCGCGGCCGGCTGTACCCACTACCAGGCCGTGTAATAGCCATCGCCGCGTCCGCGGCCGGCGTCGGCCTGCTGGCGGACGGGCGCGAACGGCTCTGCCGGCCTCGTGGCCTCCGAGCGCAGAGAGGAGCGCGCGCGCTGGTAGTCGCGCACCACGCCGCCCCAGACACGGCTCCAGGTGCTGATGGGGCGTGCGCGCGGGATGATCTGCGGCACCGGCTCCTCGCTCATCACGTCGTGAAGCACTGGCTCGCTCAGCGCCGGCTGCGGGCCGCGGCGTCGCGACGCCGGCTCGCCGGGCCGGCTCGGCCGCTGCCGCAGCTCGACGCCGTCGTCCAGCGACGGCTCATAGCCGGCGTTGTGGCGTCCGGCGGAAGAGGTGCGGCGGTGGTGCGCGCCTCTGCTGGCGCCGGCCGGTCGGCGCACGGCGCGGTGCGCCACGACTGCCGCGCCAACCAACAACGTCACGGCCAGCAAGCAGCTGACCACGATCAGGATGATCATATATGGCGAGCTGAGTTGCACGCCGTCTGAAGGGCCGCTCGGATTGACCACGTTGTCGATGGTGTTCTGAGCCGGGGCGATGTGTTTTTTCGCCTCAATGACAAGGAGCTGCACGTGCTGTTTCATGCATCATCGTCAGATTCAGGCTGTTGGCTTCGACCAGTTACACGGCATCATCCAATTGGTTATTGCTCACCTTCAGCGCTTGGAGGGTGTGTTTTTCAAACCTCTTGTCCGAAACCATGTCTAATGCCCTAGCTGAATTGGCCAGGATTGTTGTCAGGTTGTTTTGCACTTCTTCGCAGTCGTGATTGTTTGATGGCGTCGTTGTGGTGTGGGTAGATGTGGCCGTCGGTGTGGTGACCGTCGATGTCACGGTTGGTGTGGTGTCAGTCGGTGTTGTGTCCGTCGTTGTGGTGTGGGTAGATGTGTCTGTCGGTGTGGTGACCGTCGATGTCACGGTTGATGTGGTGCCAGTCGCTGTTGTGTCCGTCGTTGTGATGTCGGTAGATGTGGCCGTCGGTGTGGTGACCGTCGATGTCACGGTTGGTGTGGTGTCAGTCGGTGTTGTGTCCGTCGTTGTGGTGTGGGTAGATGTGTCTGTCGGTGTGGTGACCGTCGATGTCACGGTTGATGTGGTGCCAGTCGCTGTTGTGTCCGTCGTTGTGATGTCGGTAGATGTGGCCGTCGGTGTGGTGACCGTCGATGTCACGGTTGGTGTGGTGTCAGTCGGTGTTGTGTCCGTCGTTGTGGTGTGGGTAGATGTGTCTGTCGGTGTGGTGACCGTCGATGTCACGGTTGATGTGGTGCCAGTCGCTGTTGTGTCCGTCGTTGTGATGTGGTAGATGTGGCCGTCGGTGTGGTGACCGTCGATGTCACGGTTGATGTGGTGCAGTCGGTGTTGTGTCCGTCGTTGTGGTGTGGGTAGATGTGTCTGTCGGTGTGGTGACCGTCGATGTCACGGTTGATGTGGTGCCAGTCGCTGTTGTGTCCGTCGTTGTGATGTCGGTAGATGTGGCCGTCGGTGTGGTGACCGTCGATGTCACGGTTGGTGTGGTGCAGTCGGTGTTGTGTCCGTCGTTGTGGTGTGGGTAGATGTGTCTGTCGGTGTGGTGACCGTCGATGTCACGGTTGATGTGGTGCCAGTCCGCTGTTGTGTCCGTCGTTGTGATGTCGGTAGATGTGGCCGTCGGTGGTGGTGACCGTCGATTGTCACGGTTGGTGTGGTTGTCAGTGCCTGTGTTTGTCCGTCGTTGTGGTGTCGGTAGATGTGGCCGTCCGGTGTGGTGACCGTCGATGTCACGGTTGATGTGGTGCCAGTCGCTGTTGTGTCCGTCGTGTGGTGGTTGGTAGATTGCGGCCGTCCGTTGTGCTGCTGGAAGAGGCGCCCATCAGGATGTTGGCGGTGGGAGTGGGTTGTGTGCGGGTGCAAACTGTGTGCGATCTTGTCCAACGCCTTTGAGAATCAATCTTCCATATGTGATTCATTTTAATGCACTAGGGTTGGTGTGGGGTCCGTCGTTGTGGTGTCGGTTAGATGTGGCCGTCATTTGTGTTGGCGATGGGAGTAGTTGTGGTGGCGGGTGCAACTGTTGTGGATATTGTCCAACGCCTTTGAGAAATCTTCCATATGTTGATTCATTGTAATGCACTTGTGCTTGAATTTCTAGAATGATATCAGATGCTCCCAGTTTTTGCTGCGATGCCATCGAGTTCAAGGATGCCCCGTTGGCTGCAAAAGAGACAAGTTCATGATGCTCGGCGTGGTAGTGGTATCAGACCATTATGCCGCGTCCGTGGCCTTAGGAAAGTTATTTTTGTAGCCCGGTGGGTGATGATGACCGTGAAGAATGATGTCCTCAGCAATTTCCTCTATGCACATAGTGCTTGAAACAATCTGACATTGTCAGTGATATCCAGCGCATGACTGCATGTGGATGACGACTAGCTGTCTGTTGGAGAACTAGCTGAGAGTTGGTGCAAGAGAAGGAAAAGGGGCTGATCTTCACTCCTACCGTCTCAGATTGGAGGAAATGATTTTCTTGTATTTTTTTTCCATTGACTTCGGTCAATTAATGTTTAGTTGGAGCCAATGAATGTGTGATCGCGCGAGTGTTGGAGTCTCCAATGTTCTCCGTGTACGGATTTGGCGCCAGGTTTCCATGTTCTGAACATGCAGATGATTTTCATCAGGGGTTTTGTTGTGGTGTCCACGCCAGGTTTTCTATGTCTGTGAACCGTGTACATCTTGCATGTGTGTCAATTGAAGGTATTGCGCGTATTGAAGTATAAAAAAACACGCTGCAGGTAGGACCGAGACGTGCCATCAACGACGGAGAGATATGCCTACACGCACGCACGCACGCGCGCAAAAGTACACACACACACACACACACGCACACACACACACACACACACACACACACGCACACACACACACACACACACACACACACACACACGCACGCACGCACGCACGCACGCACGCACGCACGCACGCATGCACGCACGCACGCAGCCGGGGACAGCGTTCAGCCCGTTGTCAACTGACAGTTGTCAGCCGAGGACAGCGGGCAGCCGGGTATAGCAATCAGCCGCGGACAGTGGTCAGCCGGAGATAACGGTCAGTCGAGGACAGCAGTCAGTCGAGGACAGCAGTCAGCCGAGGACAGTTGTCAACCGAGAACAGCGGGCAGCCGGAGACAACGGTCAGCTGAAAACAGTTGTAAGCCGAGGACAGCGGGCAGCCCGAGACAGCGGTCAGTCAAGGACAGTCGACGCGCCCGAAAACACCAATGAACAGTCGAGGACAGTGGTCAGCCGAGAACAGTTGCCAGCCGAGGACAGAGGGCAGCCGGAGGGCGCGGTCAGCCGGAGACAGCGGCCAGCCGAGGGCGCCGGGCAGCTGAGGACAGCAGGCAACCGCAGCGGGCAGAGCAAACAGCGCTGCTCGACGCGCCCGACAGCCCCGCTCGACCTGAGCGGTTGCCCTGGTAACCCACCTGACGGCGTGGCGAGCAGACAGAGCAGAGCCAGAGCCGGAGCCAGCCGGCGGCGTCCCTCCTCGCGCATGGCGGCTGCGGCCTGACCTGACATGGCCTGGCGCGACCGGGCGGCGACGACGGAGGCGGTGGACTGCGGCCCGTCCGACGGGCGCCGCGTCGGTCGCCCTCTATCAGCGCGGGGCCGCGGCGGCGGCGTATCGTGGCTGACGCGCGCCCGAGGACACCTGAGAGCTCCTCCTGCCACCAGGCTGATCATGACTGCTGATCAGCTGCGCTGGCCGGCTGGGGAGCGGGATGTCGTGTCCAGCGAATTCCCTTTCGAGACGGCTGATCGGCCTTGTGCGTGATAGTGGAGGTATGTTTGTTTTTTGTTTACCTTCCGACACTCCCGCTGTTGATCAGCTGATCTGTCCTGCCGTTGATGGGCTCGCGCTGGCTCATGTTGGTCACCTAGCGTACGCCGCTGTTGACCAGCCGGCGCCCCAGCTGACATTCAGCTGTTGGAAGTGGCTGTGCTGGCCTAGTGATCCTGATCTCGATCGCTGCTGCCGGTAAGCAGCTGCCGTCTCGTGCTATTCGTCAGCTGGCCTCGTGCTGTTAACCAGGCGGTCCACCCTGCCGTCCGTCAGCCGAACTCTCCCGGGGACGTCGCTGCGCAACGGTAGCAGCGTGTGCTTTGGCCGTGCATGGAGGCGGGCGGGGTGCTGATCGCGGCCACCAGACTAGTGTTAGTTACGTGTGTTCTGTAATGAACTACAAGAAATCGGAGCTTTCCTGCAGATGGGTGCCCGACCTATCTCGATGTTCACCACGTGACACGCTTTTGATTTGTTTTTGCTCACCGTGCGGACATTGGTGCTCGCCGGCGTAATTTTATGACACGCCGGCGCCGGCGTGTCGTAAAATCCTGCTCTTTGTGACCGTCAGGCGAGATCCCTTTTGCGCCGCAGCACGTGTGATCGCCATCGTGCACCTGGTCTTCCCTCCGCCGATGATGACAGCGCACCTTGTCGGCCGCGCGCTGCGTCGACGTGTAGCCTGACGTTCGCCGCCTGTCCCGCAGGGTGACCTGGGCGAGGCGAATCAGGACGTGACCCAGCGTGTGGTGGTGACCGGCGCCGGCGCGCCCAAGTGGGCGTGGCTGATGACCAACCTCGTCTCCTTTACCTCGGAGGGCAGCGTACTCATCTTCGTCACCCGAAAAGTGCGTTGTCGCTCACCCACCTTCTGGCTCGTCGCCCGCCAAGGGGTACCAGCACGCGCCGCAGAGAATGGTGGAGTGCTGTTCCTTGATTATAAGTCGAGTGGGGGTGGGGCATGGGATGTTTGATTTCTTCCCAGGCGCGTCCCTCAGTAGGTAAGTTGTTTCGGGAGCTTTTGTGTTTGTCAGCTGATACCATTTGAGACCGTAGGTTCGGAATCTTTCCCTGAGTTCTTGGGGGATTCGCCGATATCCCCCAAGTGAACGCCCCATTTGTTAAGTACTGATGATGAAACCGCATCATTGCTCATCCTTTCGCGGATATTTTGTCTTCGCAATTGTATACAGCCGCTTTAAATATTGGTATTAATGTTGGAACAAAGGGCAACTTTGTTTTCACATACCGACGTGACGTTTTCGCCGATGTGCTCTTAATTACGGACTGCAGATCTGCTGCTGGGGCATCCCTGGATGAGTGTCTGGTGTTGCGAAAACCAGCGCACTGACGTTTTTGTCATGTTGTGGATGCTACCATTGTCATTGTCGCCGTCCTAACACGCGGCGTCGGCGTGTGACCTGCGCAGGCGAACAGTGAAGAGCTCGCCAACAATCTCCGCAAGCAAGACTTCCAGCTGGAGCTGATCCACGGAGACATTGACCAGGTGAGGCCACGTCGCGGACTTTCCGATCACTTCGGCGACGTTGTCGCTGCTTTGAACAGTCTGGAACGTCATGAAGCCCATGAAACCAACTGAACTGATCCAAACTGAGCTAAACTGAGCCGAGCTGCTGAGCTATGTTGTGCTGTGCTATGCTAAGCTGAGCTGTGCTGAGGTGAGCTGAGATTAGCTGAGCTGAGCTGTGCTGTGCTGCGCTGGGCTGTGCTGAGCTGGGCTGTGCTGAGCTGAGCTGAGCTGAGCTGAGCTGAGCTGAGCTGAGCTGAGCTGGGCTGTGCTGTGCTGTGCTGTGCTGTGCTTGCTGTGCTGTGCTTGCTGTGCTGTACTGTGCTGTGCTGTGCTGTGCTGTGCTGAGCTGAGCTGAGCTGAGCTGAGCTGAGCTGAGTTATGCTGAGCTGGACTGTGCTTGCTATGCTGTGCTGTGCTGTGCTGAGATGAGCTGAGCTGAGCTGAGCTGAGCTGAGTTGACCCGGCGCTGGTTGGACTGCGCCGCAGGTGGAGCGGAACCGGATCATCACTTGCTTCAAGCAGAAGCAGGTGCCGATCCTGGTGGCGACGGACGTGGCTGCGCGCGGGCTGGACATCCCGCACATCCGCACTGTGGTCAACTACGACGTGGCGCGCGACATCGACACGCACACGCACCGCATCGGACGCACAGGTGGGAGACAGCGCTGCCATGTGAGGGAATGTTCCCTGGGAGTGAAAAGATGTGTGCGTGCAGTGGTGAGCGTCGCGCAGGAGTCGGCTTGTGCTCTGTCGTGCACCGCCGAGTACGCCAGACGGAGCTCTATGAGAGATGTGATCGCAGCGCGCACACCCCAGACACAACGCTCCCACACCGCGCTTGGTATTGCGGACGAGCTGTCGCGCGCACTCACAGACCACCAACTGGTGCGCGGCCTTGGCGGAGGAGTGTGGCATGTGAGTGCGCGGCTGTAACGCCCGCCTGCGGCAGGCCGCGCCGGGCAGAAGGGTACCGCCTACACGCTGGTGACGCCGCGCGACAAGGACTTCGCCGCTCACCTGGTGCGCAACCTTGAGGGCGCCGGACAGGAGGTGCCCGAGCAGCTGATGGAGCAGGCCATGCAGGTGGGTGGCGCCTGGCCCGGCGGCAGACACGTCACCTGCCGGGCGCTCCGACAGTGGCGGCCTGGCGATGCGTGCCGCACGAGCGGGGCTTTCCGTGACGTCCGCGTTGGTCTGAGTGGGGCGCTTGACGCGGGAAATGGCTCCACAGCAGGCCGTGTCTCCAGACATTTGTGGTGAACCCAGCTGGCCCGTAGTGTTCTGGTGGCCCGGATACCTTGACGGATGACCCTGACGCCGTGGCGGATGACGCTGGTGCCTTGACTGATGACCCAGATGCCTTGACTGATGATCTAAATGCTGATGTCCCCGTCTGCGACCGCTGGTCTCGTGTCCAGGTCGTCTTTTAGGCACATCCGCGTTGACCCACGAAGACCGCAGCTGTTCGTTTTTGATGCGTGGCACTGCGGGCTGTTTCAGAACGCCTGGTTTCGCAAGTCTCGCTTCAAGTCCGGTCAGGGCAAGAACCTTAACGTGGGCGGCCGTGGTCTTGGCTACCGGGAGCGGCCGGGGCTGGCAGCTGCCTCGGAACCTACTGAGGTATGACCAGGCCTCGCCTGCCTATGTCTTTGCGAGCCTTTTCTTGTTTTACTCAGCCTTGCCTCGCCGTTTTTTCCTCGTCTCGCCTTGCCTTGCCATGTCTTGCCACGCCTCGCCTCGCCTCGCCTCACCTCGCCTTGCCTTGCCTTGCCTCGCCTCGCCTCACCTGACCTCGCTGTGTCTTGCCTTGCCTTGCCTTGCCTTGCCTTGCCTTGCCTTGCCTGCCTTGCCTTGCCTTGCCTTGCCTTGCCTTGCCTTGCCTTGCCTTGCCTTGCCTTGCCTTGCCTTGCCTTGCCGTGCTTTGTCTTGCCTTGCTCGGCCTTAGGTAGCATGGCGGCGTCGGGCTGGAGTCGGACCAGGCTGGAAATCTAGTTTTTGTACCGTCGTTTCTAGGTTGCCGCTCCCTGAAGACCGCTGTACACAATCTACGGCGTCCATCTATGTACAGAAGTGTCCGCCGAATGGTTTTGCTCTGCTGACACGCCCGCAAGCTCCAAGTCAGTAATCTCATCATGACCACACCATACTGTTTGACACAACACAGACCAGCTGTTGTGTGCCGCCGTTCGCAGACGACAGGTTCGGCGGGTTCGACGTTAGGTGGCACGTACGGGGCGCCGGCCGAGGCGGCAGCGGCGGGTCCCGCCGACGCCAGCGCCCCTAGCGGCCGCGGGCCGGCCAGCGAGCGTCTGTCGGCTATGAAGCAGGCGTTCAAGGCGCAGTACATGTCAACGGTAGGGCTGACGGCGGGACTGGGGCGTCGGCAGGCAAGAGACGTCACACGGTCGCGTGGAGTCTCACTCACCCCTGTGTTCTAGAATCATGTTGATATGACAATAACAAATGTGCTATCATCAACGGCGCCGACAAAAACTTGTAAACAGCACGCGATGACTTGACGACTACCTGTTGAACTCGACTAACGAGTTGTAACACAAGCCGAGTACAATGCATATGCGTTACAACGCTATAACCTTGTGCGTATGTAAGCAATATACCTAGCTTTTGACCAGTGTACAGTGTCTTACATTGTCTGTTCTTCGCCACATGGCTAAGTGGTGCCTGATGCGCGTTATGTGCCGTGACCATTTGCACCGCTCGCTGACAGACCGTCCGCCTCCTCAGTTCACGGCGGCCAAGGACACCTCCTGGCAGAAGACGAGCTACCCGGGCTTCGTGTCGACGAGCATTGTGACGGGCGTGGTGCCTCCTGCTGGCGGCCCGCCGCCGTCCGGCGACGGCGAACAGAAACGGCGGAAAAAGAGCCGCTGGGAGTGAGGACTGGGATGGTGCCCACTGCCGGGGGGACGGCCGCGGACACGGCGGCACGGCAGCGAGTGTGCCGAGTGCACGGGGGTCAGGCGAACGTGAGTCCGCAGGCCGGTTGGAGTGAGCGAGCGGATCACACGCGAAGCAGAACATGAGAGTGGCGAGTCTGGAGGCCCCGGTACGAGAGCGGCGCCGGGCCGTCCAGGCACTGGCCCATGTGACCTGCGGATGACAGGACTCAGCTGCGGTCACCTCGCTCCTCGCCCGGAAGCTTTCGGAAAGGACCAGATGACTCTGTTGGATGCGTGAGCGTAGCATCGCGTCTGCCAGCTTAATGCTGCTCTTGGACGGACTCAGTTGTTTCACGGCCTCTGAGCGACGAAGGTGTACTTCGATCGCCGCGCAGGTGATGTCCCTCGAGAGTGCTTCCATCTCTGGGGCAAGTTTGTCGTCGCTGTTATCGACGACGCTCGCGTGGCGGCAGGTGGGCTTCGGGTCACCTGGTTCTGCAGCCCTGACGTCGCGCCGTTCGCCCTCGGTGCTGGGCGCTGTCCCTGTAATGACGGCTAAGTCCCCGTTCGCCGGCTGACTCGGTTTGCCGGCACAGTTGACCTGTCTATAAATCCGAATCACAATGTGTTGCCGGCTACATGGCACTGGTACGTAGACGTGTTTGGTTGGCCGTTTCGCTGTGAAAACCGTTTTTGTCTAATTTGCGTCACTTTTCCAATTGTCAACGCAATACACATCTCACTGAACCGCAGCGAGCCGAGTGATGGTTGCGCGTCAATTTGAGCGGCCAATAGCGGCCAAGGGCGCTCGGTTGGATGGAAATTGTAACCGCAGCCCATCGTTGATGTCGCTCTTGATGTTGCGAGCTCAGGCCCGAAGCTGTTTTAGGTATTTTATTTTATGAGCCGATTGCGCAAAGGGGTTGACGTCTGTGGGGAAACATGGGATGGTCTTTTTTGGCCTAGCTCCTGTTCACGGATCGAACATTTATGGAACCCTTTGCTTTTTCCGCGTAGGGAGAAACTTGTTATTAGCTTGCTCGATGCTCTGTTGTCGCTATTGTCGCAGTGATATGCGCTCTGGTGTGCTGGCATTTTGAGCGGTATAACCATAGTTTATGTATTCCATGGCCAAACATGCTGTTGTCAAATTTATTTGCTACGTACATAACATCTGTCAAACCCAAGGTCATATGTCACAACTATGCAGACATTAAGGTACAGCTCTATTGATGTCATTTTTTTCATTCGCAAGCTTTTTTTAGAATGTACGTAGAATGTAGAATGTATGAAGCTTACACCACAGAAATGTAGTTTCGCAAAATAGTTTTAGCGCCCTAAACGGGGAAAATGGCCAGACCTGCCCATAAACTGCAGCAAAAAAAAAAAATAGGCTTCCCCGGATATTACATTCGTTCCTTTCAAAGTCAGGGAGCTAGGGTCACTCCAACCTAAACCGGAGAGCATACCCTTGCCCTTATGCATTTCCTCACTCCATCCACGCGGGAGGTGTCGGGCATCATCATTTTGTGCGGTCTTGGTGAACGAAACCAGGTTCCGGTATTCGACGTAAGATCCATGTGGTGCGCTTTTTGACGTAATGGCCCATGCATGGCTTCGGGAACAAGGAGTGTAACATGTGCGACCGTCAAGGGATGCCATGAAAACTTCCGGCAGTTTGCCGCAAGGCGGGCTTCTGCCTGCAACGTGGCATAAGCGATAGGCGTGTTCGAAGCGCCTAGTGTTGTTTTGGTGACCATTGTTAAACGCTTAAAGTTATCGGTGCAGACCCGTGGAGTCGATCGCCTGTTTTTCGAAATCGTTTCATTGAATATTCACGTCGAAGTCGGCATATTTAAGAGATTCTTCCGAACATAGTGGTAAGTAAATTGGTTACATTTCTGGGTGCTAATATTCGATCGGTTTGTTTTAATTCTCCGATAGCGCGTCGTGGCATAGTATCACAGCGAACGCAGCTCATTGCAGCCTAAAGAATATGCAACATCGTTGAATAATGCCAAAATACTTGGCATTAACACAAGGCTTTGGCAGAGTAAACAAGACATATGAATTGTGCAGTTCAAACATGCAGAATGCAGCCGTAGCAGAAAATGCTCCAGTAACCACGGTACGAACGCGGTGTTCCAGCAGGTTGACATGCTCCGAGAGCTGTACCGAACTAAAACTGACATCGCGGTTTGTACTTGCCCTGTTCCTTTGACCAGTGAAAGTGTTATTAGAGGCCTTTAAAAGTGATATAATGTCTATCTCTCACTTTTTGCGTTATGCATGCTCACACTTGGGCTACATGGGTTGGTGGGGTGGCGGGGGCAAACCCACCACTGGGCGGGCCAAACTGAGCTGGAGGGGGACGGGGCAGCGGTTCACCCAAAATAATACTACTCGACACCCGTGCGTGAAGAGGTGTCGAGTTCATACCGAAGGACATCATTCTGAGCTGTAATGAAGCAGGCATACCATCACATGTACGTGTAGGTAATGACAACGTTGATTATGCCACTGTTCATATCACCGTTTACGGTTCATATCACAGTGCACCATTCATACATTCATATCACCGTGCACCGTTCAGATCACCGTGCACCGTTCAGATCACCGTGCACCCTTCTCCAAACGCTGCCTGAGATCGGCGTTTTGACCAAAACTAACTGATATCAAACGTTCTCAAAAAAATTTCCGTGCATGATGGAATATGTCGAGTTTTACACTAGACATGTATTCTCCTGCCACCATGATGAAGCGCCCTGTGGCGTCGACCAAGCGCGGCAGCTGTGTACGACGGGGATGTCGGCACCTCTTGAACCGCTCCTATCTGACTGAGTGGTGCTGTACGTGTGTATGGGCGTGGAGTTGTGGGTGTGGGTGCGGGAGCAGGTGTGGGTGAGAGTGCGGGTGTGGGTGCGGATTTGGGTGCTGGTGTGGATGTGGGTTCCGGTGTGAGCTTCATTGGGAATGCTATGGTCTGGTCTTATCACTTCCGAAATAATGGCCACGCCATGCCCTATACACAACCAGTGGCTTGTCACTAATACCTTGGGTCTAGCAGGATTGCGAGCGACTTGGGGTTTGCCTGGCATCCGCCACAGTAGTGCGATAAGCTGGCTGGATAATGTTACGTGGCCTTACCTTCATTCTGCAAGTACAGGGCAAGTGAGGGTCGGTTGGCCCTAAAGATTAGAAAGGACTGGGGCTTGTCACATCCGTGTATGCAATATCGGGCCGTGACAAAGAGTCTAGAACTGCATGCGATTTTCATTTCAAATCAGTTCTTTCATAAGCCTAGCTTCTGCAATCTGACTAAAAAATTTAGTTGGAAAATGTGTTCGGCCGTTTCTGATAACGCATTTCCTCGAAAGTGATGACGAAATATGTTATTATGGTGATTTCGGCCCCTGAGCACCGATTCATGCGCACAACATAAACGCAACATAGAGGGAGCCAAGTGTACTGAGAAGGCGACCCGCGCATAGAACCGCAAACAACCACAAAATAACGCTGAAAAAATAGGCTAAAGTAAATGTTCATCTTTACCTGTATTTAGAGACAGATTTAAGCTTCTTCCCATTTGGTTCTGGTTGCTTGCATCCACTACCCCAGAGTTTGGTGCCAATGTGAGTGCAAGCGAATTACATACGTTATGGTAGCTGTCTATGGCCATAAAATATGGCAACTTTTGTTGCTGGAGTGCCGTGTAGCTTGTCTGGGAAGCAAATCATCTCAAAAGAATGCAATGTACAAGAACTATGAGAATTAACGATGCAAAAACAAACTATAATCTATTATTTGTATTCTGCTTCTCCGATGTCACACCCCCAACATGTTCTGCAGGTGACAGACTTGCGATATGATGCTTGTAGAACAGAGCTACCCCAATCGTGTTAGCACAGGTGGCACTTAGTTTTCACACCAGTTCTGGATGCGTGCGCATTTCATTGCTGGAAACACATCCTCTAACAGTTCGTAAAGCTCCCAACACTAGGCCACCTGGAACTCACAGAGACCGGCTTATCAATTCTCACAGATTAGTGCCGTCACTGGCTGCCACGATCACATTCTGCTGATGACACCGAACACTGAGTGATTGGTCGACAGCAACTGTGCAGTGCATGACACGAGCGGTGTGAAACGAAGTGGACACGTCTTGAAAACAGGGCGCTAGTGCGCGTCAGTGCCTCCTGTTATGCTCCATATTACTAAGATTCGACATAAAAAACTCGAGACGGGTAGACGAGACCAAATTTGACGTGGTAACGCAGGATCTTGATTACGCTGATTACATAGAACTAGTATTCAATAAATGAGTCTCATGCAGCGCCTTCAGGATCGTGCCATGGTGTCACTGAACGATTTTTGACACCATTTGAACATAGAAGCAACAAATTGAAATGCAAAGTGGCGAAATCTGTCAGCTCTTTCCCGCTACCGGCGAGAGGAAGGCACAAGTTGGCGTCTTGTTGCGCAGCCCGAGTTTTCTCTGCCGCGCCTGGTGTGCCGCTGCCCGCGGCCCAAAAAGCCTCACCTTACCCGTGGCGCTCGAACCGCAACCGACAGCTGCCATCGGGGTCAGCCAACAGGTCATTATCACAGCAACCGGGGTCAGCCGACGGGGACTTTCTCACGGGCTTGGTACGCAGTTTCGTGCGTGAGAGCCACCATCCCTTCCAAAGCTTGGGGACAGCCGTCTACACCGCCGTCTACACCGACGAACGCCGTCTACACCGCCCGCGGCAAGGTGGCGCGTTTGTGTGGTCCGCTCAATGCCTGGCGGCATGAAGAGGCAATGTTTGCCAACATGCCACAGTGTCACAGCCCGGCCGGCGACCAGCCCAGTTGCTGAAGCTCCGGTGAGGCTCGCACCCCAGCGGCGACAAGTCCGCGCACAGGTGGCACCAACAGCGGCTGCTCCACCGGCGATGTGGGTTCGGGGCGAATTGCTCGGCGCCGCCGCCGACTGCACTCACTAGCACTCGGTGTAATTGTCGTCGCTGCGGCTGACCCCGGCGTCGGCATGCTCGCGGATGGGCGCGAACGGCTCTGTCTGCCCGGCAGCCGTCGGGAGGAGAGAGAAGCGCCAACGCTGGAAGTCGCGCACCACGCCGCCCCACACACGGCTCCAGGTGTTGACGAGTCGCGCGCGCGGGATGAACCGCGGCACTGGCTCGTCGCGCAGGGCCGGCTCCGAGGCGCGGTGTCGCAGCACTACCTCGTCGTTAATCACGTCGTGAAGCACTGGCTCGTTCAGCGCCGGCTGCGGGCCCCGCCGTTGCAACGCCGGCTCGCCGGGCCGGCTCGGCCGCTGCCGCAGCTCGACGTCGTCGTCCAGCGACGGCTCATAGCCGGCGTTGTGGCGTCCGGCGGAAGAGGTGCGACGGTGGTGCGCGCCTCTGCTGGCGCCGGCTGGCCGCCGCACGGCGCGGTGCGCCACGACTGCCGCCCCGACCAACAACGTCACGGCCAGCAAGCAGCTGACCACGATCAGGATGATCATAAATGGCGAGCTGAGTTGCACGCCGTCTGAAGGGCCGCTCGGATTGACCACGTTGTCGATGATGTCCTCAGCCGGGGTGATGTGATTTTGCGCCTGACTAACAAGAGACTGCAAGTTCTCCTTCTCGTCTTCAGTCAGATTCAACATGTCGTTTCTCGCACAGTACACGGCATTATTCAATTCACCATTGCTCAACTTCAGAGCTTGGAGAGTGTTCTCGTCAAATATCTTGGACGAAACCATTCCTAATGCCACAACTGACTCAACCAGAATTTGTGTCATATTGTTCTGCACTTGTGTGCAAATCGGATTGCTTGATGGAATAATCGGAGACTGCCGCGCAGCCTGAGCTCCTGAATTGCGCAATTCCATCGCAGCATAGTTCTTGCCATTGCTGGTCGATGTGCCGCCAAGCGATCCCTCGGCCGGTGTTGTGTCCGTCGTTGTGGTGTCGGTAGATGTGGCCGTCGATGTGGTGACCGTCGATGTCACAGTTGGTGTGGTGTCAGTCGGTGTTGTGTCCGTCGTTGTGGTGTCGGTAGATGTGGCTGTCGGTGTGGTGACCGTCGATGGTCGCAGTTGGTGTGGTGTCAGTCGGTGTTGTGTCCGTCGTTGTGGTGTCGGTAGATGTGGCTGTCGGTGTGGTGACCGTCGATGTCACGGTTGGTGTGGTGTCAGTCGGTGTTGTATCCGTCATTGTGGTGTCGGTAGATGTGGCCGTCAGTGTGGTGACCGTCGATGTCACGGTTGGTGTGGTGTCAGTCGGTGTTGTGTCCGTCATTGTGGTGTCGGTAGATGTGGCCGTCGGTGTGGTGACCGACGATGTCACGGTTGGTGTGGTGTCAGTCGGTGTTGTGTCCGTCGTTGTGGTGTCGGTAGATGTGGCTGTCGGTGTGGTGACCGATGTCACGGTTGGTGTGGTGTCAGTCGGTGTTGTGTCCGTCGTTGTGGTGTCGGTAGATGTGGCCGTCGATGTGGTGACTGTCGATGTCACAGTTGGTGTGGTGTCAGTTGGTGTTGTGTCCGTCGTTGTGGTGTCGGTAGATGTGGCTGTCGGTGTGGTGACCGTCGATGTCACGGTTGGTGTGGTGTCAGTCGGTGTTGTATCCGTCATTGTGGTGTCGGTAGATGTGGCCGTCGGTGTGGTGACCGTCGATGTCACTGTTGGTGTGGTGTCAGTCGGTGTTGTGTCCGTCGTTGTGGTGTCGGTAGATGTGGCCGTCGATGTGGTGACCGTCGATGTCACAGTTGGTGTGGTGTCAGTCGGTGTTGTGTCCGTCGTTGTGGTGTCGGTAGATGTGGCCGTCGGTGTGGTGACCGTCGATGTCACGGTTGGTGTGGTGTCAGTCGGAGTTGTGTCCGTCATTGTGGTGTCGGTAGATGTGGCCGTCGGTGTGGTGACCGACGATGTCACGGTTGGTGTGGTGTCAGTCGGAGTTGTGTCCGTCATTGTGGTGTCGGTAGATGTGGCCGTCGGTGTGGTGACCGACGATGTCACGGTTGGTGTGGTGTCAGTCGGTGTTGTGTCCGTCGTTGTGGTGTCGGTAGATGTGGCCGTCGGTGTGGTGACCGTCGATGTCGCAGTTGGTGTGGTGTCAGTCGGTGTTGTGTCCGTCGTTGTGGTGTCGGTAGATGTGGCTGTCGGTGTGGTGAGCGTCGATGTCACGGTTGGTGTGGTGTCAGTCGGTGTTGTGTCCGTCGTTGTGGTGTCGGTAGATGTGGCTGTCGGTGTGGTGACCGTCGATGTCACGGTTGGTGTGGTGTCAGTCGGTGTTGTATCCGTCATTGTGGTGTCGGTAGATGTGGCCGTCGGTGTGGTGACCGTCGATGTCACGGTTGGTGTGGTGTCAGTCGGTGTTGTGTCCGTCGTTGTGGTGTCGGTAGATGTGGCCGTCGATGTGGTGACCGTCGATGTCACAGTTGGTGTGGTGTCAGTCGGTGTTGTGTCCGTCGTTGTGGTGTCGGTAGATGTGGCCCGTCGGTGTGGTGACCGTCGATGTCACGGTTGGTGTGGTGTCAGTCGGTGTTGTGTCCGTCATTGTGGTGTCGGTAGATGTGGCCGTCGGTGTGGTGACCGACGATGTCACGGTTGGTGTGGTGTCAGTCGGTGTTGTGTCCGTCGTTGTGTCCGTAGATGTGGCCGTCGGTGTGGTGACCGTCGATGTCGCAGTTGGTGTCGTGTCAGTCGGTGTTGTGTCCGTCGTTGTGGTTTCGGTAGATGTGGCCGGTCGGTGTGGTGACCGTCGATGTCGCAGTTGGTGTGGTGTCAGTCGGTGTTGTGTCCGTCGTTGTGGTGTCGGTAGATGTGGCTGTCGGTGTGGTGGTGACCGTCGATGTCACGGTTGGTGTGGTGTCAGTCGGTGTTGTGTCCGTCGTTGTGGTGTCGGTAGATGTGGCTGTCGGTGTGGTGACCGTCGATGTCACGGTTGGTGTGGTGTCGGTCGGTGTTGTGTCCGTCGGAGTGGTGTCGGTCGGTGTGGTGTCGGTCGGTGTGGTGGCGGTGGAAGTAGTTGTGGCGGGTGCAACTGTTGTGATCTTGTCCAACGCCTTTGAGAGATCATCCATATGCTGTTTCATTGCATGCACTTGTGCTTGAATTTCTAGAATGATATCAGATGCTCCCAGTTTTTGCTGCGATGCCTTGGACTTCAAGGATGCCCCGTTGGCTGCAAAAGAGACAAATTCATGTTGCTCGGCGTGGTAGTGGTATCAGACCATTTTGCCGCATCCGTGGCCTTAGGAAAGTTATTTTTGTAGCCCGGTGGGTGATGATGACCGTGAAGAATGATGTCCTCCGCAATTTTCTCCATGCGTGTAATGCTTGAAACAATCTGACAGTGTCAGTGATATCCAGCGCATGGGTGCATGTGGATGATTACTAGCTGTCTTAGAACTAGCTGAGAGTTGGTTGCAATGGAAGGAAAAGGGGCCTGATCTTCGCCCCTACCGTCTCAGATTGGAGGAAATGATTTTCTGGTGTTTTTTCCATTGACTTCGGTCAATTAGTCTTTAGTTGGAGCCAATTAATGTGTGATCGCGCGAGTGTTGGAGTCTCCAATGTTCTCCGTGTACGGATTTGGCGCCAGGTTTCCATGTTCTAAACATGCAGATGATTTTCATCAGGGGTTCTGTTGTGGTGTCCACGCCAGGTTCTCTATGTCTGTGAACCGTGTACATCTTGCATATGTGTCAATTGAAGGTATTGCGCGTATTGAAGTATCAAAAAACACGCTGCAGGTAGGACCAAGACGTGCCATCAACGACGGAGAGATATGCCGTCACGCACGCACGCACGCGCGCAAAAGTACACACACACACACACACACACACACACACACACACACACACACACACACACACACACACACACACACACACACACACACACACACACACGCACACACACACACATACACACACACACGCGCACACACACACACACACACACACACACACGCACACACACACACACACACACACACACACACACACACACACACACACACACACACACACACACACACACACACACACACACGCACGCACGCACGCACGCACGCTTCACGCACGCATGCACGCACGCATGCACGCACGCACGCACGCACGCACGCACGCAGCCGGGGACAGCGTTCAGCCCGTTGTCAACTGACAGTTGTCAGCCGAGGACAGCGGGCAGCCGGGTATAGCGATCAGCCGCGGACAGTGGTCAGCCGGAGACAACGGTCAGTCGAGGACAGCAGTCAGCCGAGGACAGTTGTCAGCCGAGGACAGTTGTCAACTGAGGACAGCGGGCAGCCGGAGACAACGGTCAGCTGAAAACAGTTGTAAGCCGAGGACAGCGGGCAGCCCGAGACAGCGGTCAGTCAAGGACAGTCGACGCGCCCGAAAACACCAATGAACAGTCGAGGACAGTGGTCAGCCGAGAACAGTTGCCAGCCGAGGACAGCGGTCAGTCGAGGACAGCAGTCAGCTGAGGACAGTTGTCAACCGAGGACAGCGGGCAGCCGGAGACAGCGGTCAGCCGAGAACAGTTGTCAGCCGAGGACAGCGGGCAGCCGGAGACAGCGGTCAGCCGAGAACAGTTGTCAGCCGAGGACAGCGGGCAGCCGGAGACAGCGGGCAGTCGAGGACAGCGGTCATTTGAGGACAGTTGTCAGCCGAGGATAGCGGGCAGCCGGAGACAGCGGTCAGCCGAGAACAGTTGTCAGCCGAGGACAGCTGGCAGCTGGAGACAGCGGTCAGTCGAGGACAGTTATCAGCCGAGGATAGCGGGCAGCCGGAGACAGCGGCCAGCCTAGAACAGTTGTCAGCCGAGGACAGCGGGCAGCCGGATACAGCGGCCAGCCGAGAACAGTTGTCAGCCGAGGACAGCGGGCAGCCGGAGGCAGCGGTCAGTCGAGGACAGCGGGCAGACGGAGACAGCGTCAGTCGAGGACAGCGGTCAGCCGAAGACAGTCGTCAACAGAGGATAGCGGGCAGCCGGAGACAGCAGTCAGCCGAGAACAGTTGTCAGCCGAGGACAGCGGGCAGCCGGAGGCAGCGGTCAGTCGAGGACAGCGGTCAGCCGAGGACAGTTGTCAAACCGAGGACAGCGGGCAGCCGGAGACAGCGGTCAGCTGAAAACAGTTGTAAGCCGAGGACAGCGGGCAGCCCGGGACAGCGGTCAGTCAAGGACAGTCGACGCGCCCGAAAACACCAATGAACAGTCGAGGACAGTGGTCAGCCGAGAACAGTTGCCAGCCGAGGACAGAGGGCAGCCGGAGGGGAGCGGTCAGCCGGAGACAGCGGCCAGCCGAGGGCGCCGGGCAGCTGAGGACAGCAGGCAATTCTGGCGTTGAAAACGAAATACGACATTTGACAAGATACTCTGAGTGTTAGGAGAAACAGTTATGAGTGTTTCTTATATGTATCAGAGTGAAAATAGGATTATGTCTTGCTTCAATTAGATATGCTTCATTTATGTTCTCGGTAACAAAACATGTTTTCCAACAGGAGTGCACAATTTTGTATCCTTTAAAACTCAAAACTTAGTTCTTGAGCCATTTAGTCTTCTCCGACGATGAAATAGTATCTCGAAACGTTAGAATGTAAGAAGCGATGAATATATCAGTACTTTTGTGCGAGTCATCTTTGATCTAAGCGATGATGTCATGTCAAAGACCCGGAAACTAGAACGATGCGTCAAAAAGCTTGTCGATGCTAAGTCAGCAGTTACTTTTAATCAAACATATATATATATATATATATATATATATATATATATATACATATGTATAGGAATATAAGCGCAACTGCCGCTTCTCGTCGTTTATCTCGATGAATCCAGAATGAGTCACCCAGGCGAATGGAGTAGACAGTTGCAGAGGACGGGCAGCTCCAGAAGGCGGGCAGCCGCGGACAGCGGGCAGCCGAGGATCGGTTTCAGCTGAGGACAGCAGTCAGCCGGGGACAGCGGTCAGCCAAGGACAGCGGTAAGCCGAGGACAGCGGGCAGCCAAGGACAGCTGTCAGCTTAGGACAGCGGTCAGCCGAGGACAGCGAGCAGCCAAGGACAACTGTCAGCTTAGGACAGCGGTCAGCCGAGGACAGCGAGCAGCCGAGGACGGCGGACAGCCGAAGACAGCGGGCAGGCGAGGACAGCGGGCAGCCACAGCGGGCAGACAGCGCTGCTCGACGCGCCCGACAGCCCCGCTTGGCCTCAGCAGTTGCCCTGGTCACCCACCTGACGGCGTGGCGAGGAGATAGATCAAAGTCAGAGCCACCCGGCGGCGGCGCGCCTCGCGCATGGCAGCCGCGGCCTGACCTAGCATGACCCGGCGCGACTGGGTGGCGTTGGCAGAAGCAGCGGACTGCGGCCCGTCCGACGTACACCGCGTCGGCTACTCGTTATCGGCGTGGGGTGGCAGCGGCGGCGGCGGCGGCGGCGGCGGTGTATCGTGACCAGCACGCGCCCGAGGGGGATACTTGAGAGCTTTTATCTGCCACCGGGCTGAACATAGCTGCTGGCGATCTAAAACTGTAGGTCTTGCATCGGTTGCACGGTTTTGGACCTGTCATTTGATTGTTTTGGCTATACACCGATGTAATTTGTGTGAATTCAGCTCTGGTGACGCGCTGGTTATGGTATCGTTGCGTTTCCCATCCGTCCATATATATTTTGTCTTCGCCATTATATACAGCCGCTTTAGATATTGGTATCAATGTTCGAACAAAGAGGAACTTTGTTTTCCTATATCGACGCCTTCACTGATGTGCTCTCAATTACGGACTGCAGGCCTGCTGCTGGGGCATCCTTGGATGAGTCTCCAGTGTTGCGAAAACCAGCGCACCGACGTTCTTTGCCATTTTGTGGATGCTACCATTGTCATTGCCGCCCTCCTAACACGTGGCGTCGGGATGTGACCTGCGCAGGCGAACAGTGAAGAACCCGCCAACAATCTCCGCAAGCAAGACTTTCAGCTGGAGCTGATCCACGGAAACAATGACCAGGTGAGGCCACGCCGCGGACTCACCGATCCCTTCGGCGACGTCGTCGCTGCTTTGGACAGCCTGTAACGTTATGAAGCTCCTGATGGTGACATGACCCACATTCGGGGAACGGCTGTTTGTGTTCGTGTTAAAGAATAACGACCTCCATAGGAGCTTTAATTGGTGGCTACAGTTATGGCCCGGACCACTTCAACAATCTGGCAATGTTCCTCTTCACCACCACCTGACTGCCGGTGTGGTGTCATGGTGCTGGTGCGGTGACTCCGGGTGACATCACCATCTGCCTGCTGGTGTGGTGTCATGGTGCTGGTGCGTTCACCCAGGTGACGTCACCACCTGCCTTTTGGTGATGGCGGCCCAGGCGGTACGGTGCTCAGTCATCACGGTCTGGGACCGAGAGGCCGCCACCCGCGCCGCTCTGGCATGACCTAATGTGCCTCGAAATGGCCTGGGCTGAGCTCAACTAACCTGACCCAAGCTGAC